AACTAATCAAGGAGAGAAGCAACTTAGAACTAAGGAGACATTTCCTGACAGTTAGAACAATTAATCAGCGGAACAATTTGTCTCCAGAAGTTCTGAACGTTCCAACACTGGAAGTTTTAAATAAGATGTTGGATAACCATTTGTCTGAAGTGGTGCAGGGTTTCCTGCCTAAGCAGGGGGTTGGATTAGAAGACTTCCTAGGTCCCTTCCAGCTCTGTTATTCTATTGTATTGTATTCTATCAAAGTTTCTGCGATGTCTTAACCTAACCTGTAAACACTTCTATAACACGTTATCAGTAATGTGCTGATACAATCAGTATTATATCAGTTAGAGCAAGATTATTGATTGCTCCCATCTTGGAGGATTTTTTTGATGCAAATTTCATAGCACTGAAAAACCTGTAAATGTCTCCAGATTTGTTGTAAACTGGCCTTAGTTACCACCAAGCACAACAGTTGCCCAAGGACGCAGCCCAGGTCATTGGGAAAAGGTTTTTCATTGATTACTTTTATTTCTCATCTTTCTATGCCAGCACAAATTCAAACCTAGTGTCCTCCCTTGAAAGCAAGGGTTTAAATTCATGACAAATGCACAAACATGGAAGCAACAGTCAGCCAGTAGCAGATACAGCTACATTCCCCTTGTTTGTAACCTATCCGGTAGCATTTTCGGTCAATTACAAAGAGGACATTGCTTGTAAACAAGGCAGCGTATTGAATTTGTTTCTCCACGTCACTAGAAAAAAAAAAGAACATCATGTAATGTGTGGTTGTTAGCCACGTGGCTGCATGTTGCTAAATGCTTTCCCTTTTCATTGCAGTAAAGATATAATATAAGTCCAAGTATCAAAGAGCACTATCATTTTGTAATGCTTTCTCTTAATATGAGGCACATTCACTGCTGTTATGATCTGATTTAACAGCATGAATGTCTTAATTAAGAGTGTAGAAAAATTATACTACTGTGCATACACAGATGTTTGTTCAGTTGTGACTGAGAAACAACTCCCACACTACTGTGCATGAAATCCAGCTTAGAATGATCATCTAATAGCAATTTTGAAAAATGCTGACTGATTATTATTGTCCATTTGCTGTGCTATTTAAAACTTGTAGTTGTTCTTCCCCCCCCTTCTCTTACATGTTTTCCCCACTTTCAGATACCCAAATGAATTTATTTTTATTTTTTCAAAACCTCTGATATCAGAAGTTAAGACTGTTTTCATTCTTTAGATGGTGATACTAGTAAACTATTCAGGAGCAAAACCAAAAGGGGCCATGAAAAGCTTTGGAAAGATCTCTTTCAACAGTGTGGTGAAACATTAGTAAATAAGTATATCACACTGGGATGGCAGTGAGTAGCTCAGTTGAGTTAAGCAAGTAGCAGTTGGGAATGCTATACTAGGGATCATTAGGAACTGGAGTAATAATAACAACAGATTAACAGAGTTCGAAGGGACCTGACAGGTCATCTAGTCCAACCCCCCACTCAAGCAGGAGATCTTACACCATTTCTGACAAATGGCAGTCCAATCTCTTTTTGAAAGCCTCCAGTGATGAAGTTCCCACAACTTCCGAAGGCAACTTCTGTTCCATTGGTTGATTGTTCTCATTGTCAGAAAGTTCCTCTTTATTTCTAGGTTGAATCTCTCCTTNAGACTTATATACCGCTTCATAGGGCTTTCAGCCCTTTCTAAGCGGTTTGCAGAGTCAGCATATCGCCCCCACAGTCTGGGTCCTCATTTCGCCCACCTCGGAAGGATGGAAGGCTGAGTCAACCCTGAGCCAGTGAGATTTGAACAGCCGAACTGCAGAACTGCAGTCAGCTGAAGTAGCCTGCAGTGCTGCATTTAACCACTGCGCCACCTCGGCTCCCTCCTTTAATAGGAGTTGTTTTGTTTCTTCATTACTAATCTCTCTATTACCGGTACATCTGAAACGTATCCATACAGATTGTCCTAAGCATCAGAGCAGAAGGCTGAGTTAGCTCTATCGGTCAGAATTATTTCCGTGAACTCAAACGCTCCTTAATGGATGAATGCAGTTTTCTAATTGTTCGCATTAATCGATGTGCACTGCCCAGGGTCATTGTGGGATATAGCAGCCATATAAATCATTACAATAAATAAATTTGGTAATCATTTTTAAGTTCTCCATCCCCTGCAGAACTGAACAAGTATTTTACTTCCATTGTTAAAGATAAAGGTTTCCCGCTCGCACATACGTGCTAGTCGTTCCCGACTCTAGGGGGCAGTCAGCGCTGTCCGAAGACGTCTCCGTGGTCATGTGGCCAGCATGACTAAATGCCGAAGGCGCACGGAACACTGTTACCTTCCCACCAAAGGTGGTCCCTCTTTTTTTACTTGCATTTTTTATGTGCTTTTGAACTGCTAGGTTGGCAGAAGCTGGGACGAGTAATGGGAGCTCACTTGGTTACGTGGTGCTAGGGATTCGAACTGCCGAACTGCCAACCTTTCTGACTGACAAGCTCAGCGTTTAAGCCACTGAGCCACCTGTTAACTTCCCATGTTAGTTAATCCCTAAATTTTACAGCCCGCTGGTTTTAAACACTTTAGAAATATGCATAAAAAAACTACTATCGTGTGATTAAAAAAAATTTCTTTCCAGATCACTGAAATGTTCTAGAGGGAGAAAAACAACAGTGATATGAGCAGAAAATTGGAACAGCGCTATGTCTATCCATTAGGGAAAGGAAGGGCTGTGATTTTTTTTAAAAACACTTGCTTTGCTTGTAAAGATCTGAAATTCAGTCTCTGATCATGAGCTAATTCTTTGGTTTTGAATGTTAAAGATTCCCAGTTTGTGTACGGCTGTGTTGTGATTTAGGGTGATTTAGGGTTTCCAATTTCAATGAGGTGGTTGAGATTCTGCCTGCATGTAAACCAAGTTGCACATTTCTGGAACTGCACACTGCTGAAAGTCCATTAAACCCAGGAAAAACACGACATCATTGTTTTTCAGATTGGTTAGCTCCGTGACATTGAATTGAATTGAATTTTATTATTTGTATGCCGCCCTTCTCTGGGAAGGACTCAGGGCGGCGAACAATTCAAAAGGG